TAAAACAAGAATTAAAAGATCAAAATGAAGTTGTTGCAATTGGAAATTATTTTATTGAAATGTTTAAATATGAACTTGCACAAGAACATTTTCAAAAACTTATTGATGAAAATTTAGTCAAAGAAAATATTGATTTTGCTTATTGTTATTATGGACTTGCACAAGTTAATTGTAAAAATGAAGATTATGATTCAGCTATTTTAAATATTAACAAAACATTAGAATATTTATTAAAAAATTCATCACTTAATAAACATTCACTTGTATCATCATGTTATAATGATTTAGGTTCAATCTATACTAAACAATCAAATTATTCAGCTGCTTTACAATCATTTGATAAAGCTATATCAATCAATAATGATGATGATATCTTATCTAAAACTTATTTAGCTTTATCAGATACTCATTTTCAAATGACAAATTATCGTACAGCATTAGAATATTTAGATAAATCTCTTGATCGTATACCAAAAACAGAACATTTAATGATGGCAAATGTATATATTAACATGGGTAAAGTATATATGGCAATTAATGAACCTGAAAAAGCATCAAAAATACTTGATAAAGCACTTGAATGTCAACTTAAAGAAGTTCCTATAACTCATCCAGATGTTGGTTATACTTATAATGCAATTGGATTAATGTATTTCGATACAAATAATTATGAAAAAGCTCTAGAATATATTGAAAAAGCTTATCAATTACAATTAAAATCAATACCAAATAATCATCCAGATTTTGCAGATACTTATAGAAATTTTGCTAAAATATATATGAAAAAAGGTGATTTAGACAAAAGTTTATTTTATTATGAAAAAGTATTAGAAAATCAATTAAAAACATTAGTATGGACTAATCCATCCGTAATTGATACTTATCGATCTATTGGACTTATTGAACGAGCAAAAAGTAATTATGATCAAGCATCAACTAACTTTCAAAAAGTACTTAACCGTCATTTAAACATAATGAAATCTGGTGATAAATTAATAAGTGATGCTTATGAAAATCTTGGTAATCTTTTTTTGGAATCAAACAATGTAGATGAAGCTTTACATTATTATCTTGAATTACTTACTAATGAATTAATAAAAAAACTATCTGAAGATTTTTCATTAGTTCATATTTATAAAACTATTGCAGTGATTTATTATAAAAAACGTATTTTAGATCAATCATTAATTTATCATAATCGTTTACTTGATTGTTATTTAAAAAGAAAACCACTTGATGAATCTAGTATTAATGAAATTTATACTTCTATCGGACAAGTTTATTTAAAAAGACGTCATTTTGATCAAACATTATTATTCTATCAAAAACAAAACAAAAATCAATCATTAAATGATAAATCAATTGATAAGCGTCAAATGATTGATGATATTTCTTTTGAAAAACGTCATTTAGAACAATCTTTTTACTATTTTGAAAATTATCTCCATAAACAACTTCAAATATATTCAGAAAAAGATCCAATATTAGTTAATATATATTGTATTTTAGCAAATATTTCTTTTGATAAACAAAATTTGAATAATGCATTAAAGTATTTTCTTCTCGCATTAAATAATGAATTAGAACGAAAAGAAATTCATGATTCATCATTAAAAAATATATATAAAGCTATTGGAACTATTTATTTTGAACAAAAAAATTATGATCAATCATTAATTTATTTTTATAAATTATTTGATTGTCAATTACGACAAGATTCAAATACGAATTCATCAATAGATGACACTTATACTATGATTGGAAAAAATTATTTGAAAATAATTTATTTTCCTTTATATTTATATGATAATAAGAATTTAATGTCGAAGAAATCTAACCAAAATTTACAGAGGACAACATCAACGACGACAAATACATCTCATACTGACAATTTTATACTTGAAAAACGTTCTTTAAATCTAACATTAGTTTATTTTCAAAATTTAATTACTAAACAAAATAACAATCAATCATTAGATGACACATATATTATTCTTGGTAATACGTGTTTGGAAATGCNTGACTTTGGGTAGATTATGCAGTGCACGCCTGACGGTTCCCGTCAGACTATTCGAAACTACAGATATCTTTCATACTAAATAATTTTTATCTAATTTACTCGACACTCAGTATATGTTCAAGATTCTTGTTTTTGAATATGTGAAATTTCACAGCTCTCAACTAATGAGAAATAACATTGAAAAGATGTTAAGAAAACACATCATCACTCTGCATTATTTATTTGCTGTAGCCTCCTCATTCAAATTATTTTGTGCAATGCTCAAATTAAACTCATATAGATGCCAGTATGACAGATGTTTTTCCTGCTTAAAGAAAGAATCTAGAAAACACTAAAATTTCCACAATTTTCTTTTTCACGATATGTATGCATAGTTGGATAGAATTCATCGAGCTAGCTAGGAAAAAGTAGTATTGTTTTTTGCCTTTGAAAAAGATTTTTTCTAGAGGATGTCAGTGTGCGTAAAGCAATCGAAAACAGACCGACTTATCTCTTGACGAAGAAGACAAGTTCGATCTGCTAGTCTCAACTAAGAAAAACAACAGAATTCTAAACGAAAAAGGAAGGTAAAAATAAAAACAAATAAAATAAAATGAATGACGACTTTTAAGTATTAAAATTGAAAAAGAATTGTTTTTGAGAAATCAACTGTTCAATCTTACCGCACCTTAAGTAGTACTATATTTAGTTTTTGAATACTGAAAGAACATTTTTTATGAGTTAGCATTTACTTAAAAAAAGATTCGTAATTTATATTAAAACTTTAAACTAGGTATTATTCTTGATTAAAGAACATTAAACACTGTATTTAATTGACCACTTCTCATATAAAATTAAGTAGTATCTTGATTTAATCAACAGCAAATGTGAAATCAAAGTGTAGATAATAGTTTATAATTAAATAAACCAATCGTCTTATCAGTGCTGACGGAAGTTAAGTCAGATTTGTTGGTAACGCTACAACGTATTCCAAAAAGAACATTTGCTCGAGTAATATATGTCATATTCCAATATATTTTTATTTTTTCAAACTTATGAGGTAAATCGCACGAATGTATCAGTTTAAATATATATCAATCTTAAGAAACATAATCAAATTATAAAATAACTTTGACATTCATATTAAGATATCAACTTTAAGGAGATTTCGGTCGAATCTCTATTGAGATAATGTTTAATCTTATTCGAGATATTAATTTCTAATCACTTAGCTGAGTCAGATGCATTTTTATAGCAATATTCATAATAAATAATCTTTTGACAAATTATAAACATTAAATTTTTAGATTACGATTGTCGAACGGGTAGAAGATTATATTGAAACAAACAAACATTGGATAGTCCATAAGCTTGAATTTCTCTTTTCTTTATAAAAAAATCATCATGACGAGTTGCAACAACGGATTCATAATTCTTTACCAACATATACTCTTGAAACGATTATAAAGAAAAATACTTCTAATAAATTAGATGCTGTACAATTTTCACCTCGATGTCTTTTTGAACTAGAGTACGTTTTGGCTGTCTCCATTTTCGACTTACTGATATAATCTAGAATTTTCCAATGTTTAACGTAAATGTAGAGAACTATTTTGTGAAGCTTAAATAAGAAAATGCGCGTAGTTGAAGTTTAATATGAGATTTTAGGTTTCTTCATCGTATGAGACCTTGACAGAATACTTAATGGAGTTTTGCTCGATTGTCATTAATTATTTCATATTTTAATCACATTATCCTAAAGATGGACTCATTGAACATGTTTTTTTTTGGTTTGGTGGCTAAAGGTCGAAAGTGAAAACGTCGAAAGGCAAAATGTCGAAAACCGAAATCCTTTGAGGGCACAGTTTTCGCTCGCACCTTCACTGTGTTGTGCTGTGTGCATGTGTACTGTATTACATTCCATTGATAAAATCTTAGAAAAAGTTTTTCATCAAGAATTTATAAGGATTTATTAACGTTTATAATTTTCGACATTTCCATTCGACCTTTTACCACTTGCCCGATCAAAAGTATTGAATGAACGTGAACAAATATCAAATGAATATGCAGAAAAAATACCGCCAGAAACAAAATTAATTGCTTTGCAAAATGCTTATCTATTAGATGTAAGTAAAAAAGTAAACCTTCTTTTCACTCACATCTTCGTGTTTCATATTTCAATACTGTACCACTTGTGCTAAAACCTTTTTTCACTACTGTATTTCACTTAAATACCCCATTACAGCATCAAATCATTTGGGTTTAATTAACTCCTACTTTTTTCATGCCCACGAAATGACATTCATCCAACTCAGGTTGAAATTTGCTAAGATCTAAACGAAGTTTCTGTCGATCAATAGATAAATACTTTAAAAATCTGTAGATACTGTGTTGTAAGTTAACAATAATAATCTTTCAACTAGCACAGTTCATTTTCTTTAGTTTCCTATTCGAGAACTCTTACGTTTAGATTGTTTTATTGTTAACTATGCTTTTCAGTGATTGAAACATCGACATACCATTTACATAGATAATGCTCTGTTTTTACACAGAAAATGTGTTTTTTGTTTATTTGAAGATGAAGACAGTCTCGTGCTTGTGCACAAGACTTGCGTATGATATAAAGAGTAGATGTCATACTAATGTCTATTTTCATCACAGAACGAAAAAGTAGCGAACTATTCGTTGAGTCGTTAATTTTCGCAGATCTTGCTCGAAAGATAATGATAACAATACTCTTATCGCATTACAAGAAAAGTATATAGATGGACAAGCTAACACCAAACAAAGAACTACAACGAACTGTAAAAAATCGTTTCAAGAACTGCAGTACCTAAAATGGTTCTTTGTACGAGTACGCTCTCGGCACTTTCGCTATGAAACTCTACTGAGATCCGCAAAACGAAAAAAAGGTTCGGTATCAAAAATATAAAGCTCATGAAGCACAATAGAGATACTTGAGACGATACTGAAAAACCTATAAAGTTTCGAGAGTCCATTCGCGACAAGATCTTGATTCCACCTGTTTTCAAACATTGAATTTCGTTTTTATTCTAGATCGACTTCAGATACTTGATTCATGAATACGGACGATATCGTTACTCATATTCCATTTGAAACGCGTGTTAATCAACAATGCATCCGTCCTTCCGATCTTTCACTGTTGTCCTCGATAGTCAAATCAGTACAAAACGAGAAGCCGCTAGAAAATTATACAATCTGGAATATTCAACATGAACTAGGTGACGTGACTGCATAAATCGAATCACTTCTGGTTTTGGGCGCATCGCCTTCGAATTTATATTTTCTTCCACCGCCGTACACGTATCACAAAAGCTTTGAACAATTCGTTATTGAACATTTCGGAGTCCCAGAGGAAAACTTCTTTCATGCAACGCCATACTGTTTAAGCTACAACTACGAAAAATATCGTTTGGCACAGGTTTTATTTGAATTGAATCGATTGATGACGATTGAATTTACGAAACAAAAAGTAAAATCTATGAAATTACTCGTATTAGATAGTGGAGCCTGTTTTTCTGAAGCATTGGCCAATCTCTATGAGATTGATGACGGCAAATTAGATCCAAATCAGCTCGTTGAACATCTTCCAGCAACATTGAAAATTGGAAGATCTGATGCATCATTGCTTCTATCACACTTGGAATCGATCGAAATTCGTCTCGTCCAACAAACGTCACGTGGCCTCTTCAAGTATGTCGATCAGCCGAGCATTGAAAAAGCGCTGAATCGAATTGGAACATCGATCGTTGACGTGGCTTTCAATGAGCCCAAACGACGACCAGAACCATTGTTGATTGCTGAAGCTTGTCTAAACATCTTATCATATTTATTTTACGATGCTCCGAAGTCATTACGAATTCCAAAACCATCGCAATCACAAAAATGTCTATTACTTGGCTACGGTGCTATTGGACAAGCAATCGGTCATGCTTTAATGCATGGCGGTGACTTGGACATCTTTTCTAAAGGTTCGATCAAAGTATGGGATCAAGATGCTTCTAGACGTCAATTAGCATAGAACGATGATTTGGAAATATTTAATAATTGAAATAGCAACGAAGAATTCGATTATGTGATTGGTTGCACGGGCCGTTGCTCATTACCGATGTCGTCTTTCTCGTTATTACACGATAATGCCTACTTGATAAGCATATCATCAGGAGCCATCGAATTTCCATTTCACGAGATGGTTCAACGTGCACTGTCCGGCACTGAAATCAGTCTATCGAGTGGTCAAATCGATGAGCTCACAAGTGAAGATATTCATCATAATATTGAATTTCACATCGACAATTGACGAAAGCTAACTGTCGTCAACGGTGGAATGCCTATTACATTTGTAGGAATTCTGAATCCCATATTGCCAGAAAATTTCGACGTCACTCTAAGTTGTATGATAGCAGCAGGTGTTCAAGCTGTGCGTGTAAAACAGCAAACAAATGATCCAAATCGAATTATACCGCTAGACTCAACATATTCGGCCTTAATTTGTGATTGGTTTAAGCCTGAAACCGAAAAAAAATTCCATACTACCGAGTGAATCAGAACGATTGTGACACTTCTATTTTGCGTGTATCTCAATTCAGAGAAAGGAGAGAATATTGAGTTCTCTGTAAACTTTCAAAGAAAGAAATTCGTGTGACTTGTTATGATGAATTTTTCGATGACTAAAAGTGATGATTTGCTTGATATTGCTATTTATTATTAGAAAAATAAGAGAAAAGCTTCAGAAATCGTTAGGTTTTTAGTAAACATGCAGAGGTGAACAAGGCAAGTCAAATATCTTGGCTTCAATGTTTTCATTCTTTACAAACGATAAATATGAGGCTAACTACTAGGTTGCAGGGTATGGATGTGAGAGTACATGAAAAGAAGACGCTTACTCACACTCCACTTCACAAGGAAAGAGTTATTGATTCAACATTGTGGGATGTTTTACTGGATTTTTTGTCTTATGAGCATAGAATGTATTGAGAATTTGAAAGATTGAATTTCGAGCTGAAATTTTGGCCATAGATAGGCATTGTAGTCATTAAAAACATTCTAAAGCTGACGTGTGAAGTAGCATATTCTTAGTCAGCTATAAGCTTGTCATAGAAAAGTGCTTCTTTTGAAACATAAGTCAAAACACAGACGTTTTCTTTAAAATATAAATGTCTTAGCNATCCGAAGACTCCGCAACATTTTATATGAGTATTACAGGATCCTACAATAAGATCTTCCAAGAATCGTACAAGATCTTATATGATTTTCATACGATCTTGTATTCTTATAGAAGATCATGCAGTAAGTTTTGTTATGTTCTTATAGAAATCGTAAAAGATCCTATAGTCAGACTCTTTGATCTTGGTAGTCATCAAGAATTCATTTTGATGAGTTTATTAGAATTATTCCATCTAGTTATTTATTTTTCTCGTCATTTTATAGTCCTTACCGTCTTTAAACACATTTTGCACGAAATCGATTCAAGTAATTTCATTTAATCTATTTCAATTTCTTTATTTCATTCTTCCCATTGTCTTTAAGGATTTATTAAAAGAGTTAGATTGAACTTGTATAATTTCATTCATTTTTTTTTACTACTTATGCTCCCATTATTGGGATTACCGACCGACAATACTATTGATCATCAAGCTTCAGAAGTAGTGATGATGCGCAAAAGCAGTTTCGTTCAGTATTTCGTAAACCTGAAAGCCCATAGCTGATGGTTATGAAGCCGTACATTTAGCAGTCACGTACTTGCAATGATCGTTAAAAACTGTTAATAATTCTTATATATATCTTTCATAAGCGTCTGGGCTTGTCGGTTATGGCGATGAACTCTCCTATTTAGTCTTTCATCAATCCCTCGAAGCTATTGATGCTGTTGTTAAACGTCTCCATATTCCTTTTAATAAACCCTTCCGTTTATTGATAAGGCCAATAATACTCTTCATATACCTTACCTTAAACCCTTCAGGCTATTGATAAGGTCCATGATTCCCTTCAAATACTTTAGCATAAACCTTTTAGGCGACTGATGAGGCCATTAATCCCGTTCATATAGGTTTTAATAAACCCTACTGACCGTTTAGAATGTCCATGAACACTTCCAAATATCCTTTCTAAATAGAATGCTTGGATATAGTTTTTTCATCGACCCTCACGAAGATTTCATGAAAATGCAATGCATAGTAAACCTTTTAGGGATTTATAAATCTTATGAGCCATTTCATAAAACTTTAAAGAGGAGTATTTGAAGTTCATAATCTCCTTTATAATCCTTTTTAAGAGATCTTGAAAGGGCCTATGAACCTCATAAACGATACATAAGGGTTCTTTATACGTTGCATTTTCATGAACCGTTTAAACTTTTAGTTTTTCTACTGTGGATGTGGGTATTCGTATTCAAATCACACCCACACCCACATATGGTATTTCTGTCGATTGCATATTATCATGCTTTAAATTGCCGATAAAAATCTTAAAGTCTAATTTGTAAAGATTTACGAGCATTTTTGACATTTAATAGTCGTTTAGTGAATGATTTAATATCAGTTGCATATTATTTTGTAATGATTAATGGCAAAGCAATAAACATTATCTATACACTTGAAAAAAATTGCAAAATATTATACTTTATAGATGTATAAGAATGCTTTTTTACGACATATTAGCCATTTGTGATCGATTCAAGTAGCTGCAATTATCATTGTAAGTACGCAGTTTTTCACAATAGCACAAATTAACTTGTTTTTTTTCTCTGCAACCAAAAGAAAGTCATTTAGAATTAAATTTAGAATTATTCCAAAGTTAACCGATGATAAAAATAATAAAGAGCTAATCCGAAAAAGCGATCAATTTTCGAAGGGTTTCTACTGTATTCTAAGAGCGCTGCAGGACGACGTATATTAGACATTTGGTAAAGTACAGTATGTGAGAATACAAACCTATACTCATCTGTATGGATAAGGGAGAGATTGGGGTTTGGTAGTCCCTCTCATTTTTTGTGTTATATCTACGAAACTTTTCAATGATTACATAGGTGAATATGTGTCCATTTTCACCATTTTATATTTTCTGATATCGTCTACTGTGATATATATTCTCGAAATTGTATTAAAGTTATCTTAAATTCTATTTATACTTGTTTTAGATTCTTTTATTGATTGCAAAGACTTTGGTTTACTCTGTAAGATAAAAAAATTTATTTAACCGATCAGAACTTTTATATACAAGTTTGGTAACAACAAAGAATTCGATGTCCATATCATTGATCTTTTTATTGGTCAGTTGTTGCTATGCAGCTGAGGTAAGACTTCCATCTAGTATCAAGTAATAGAGTTTAACTCTGAGATCTAAAACATATTTTTCTAAAAGATGATATGATTCATTTAGTCATAATATCTTTTATCGGAATCAATCCTATGAACGTTTAGATCTAAGACTTAAAATGGAAAGGATTTCTTACTTAAAATAAAAAGAAATTCATTTACTCTAAATTATTCTGACCATATTTAAGAATAACGTTGGTCTCTCTAGAAATTATCGTCATATAATGTCGATCCAAGTGAAACATCTGTCTCCGGTTTATCTTCCGGTGCATATTTTGCCACACAAATACAAGTGGCATTTTCGGCTTCAATAAAAGGCGCTGGAATCATAGCAGGTGGCCCCTATAATTGTGGAGGACAAATGAGTTACACCAGTTGTATGTATACGAGTAGTCCATCGATTACTCAATCTATTTCAAATACAAAGGCGTGGAGTGGAAACAAAATTGATGACATAAAAAATCTAGCAAAACACAAAGTTTATATGATCTCTGGAACTTCCGATTCTACTGTGGGTGCTTCGGTAATGACTCAATTATATAAATATTATGTGACTGATGGTCAATTTATTCCAAGTGCAAATGTTGTATTTAAAAAAGATTTAAATTCCGCACATACATTTCCAACTGATTTCGATAGTTCTGGTAATAATGGTTGTGGATCTACAAGTAGTCCTTATATAAGTAATTGTGGCTTTGATGGAGCACGAGCTATACTCGAGCATATTTATGGACCTTTAAAAGCAAGAAATAATGGAGCATTAACTGGAAAATTTATTGAATTTAATCAGGAAGAATTTATAACTAGCGCAAGAACATATGGAATGAGCAATACAGCATGGGTTTATGTACCTAAAACTTGTGCTGATGGAGCTACTTGTAAATTACATATTGCCTATCATGGTTGTCTACAAGGCTACGAAAAAATTGGTGATAAATACGTTAAAAATACAGGATACAATCGTTGGGCTGATACCAATAATATTATAGTTTTATATCCACAAGCGGTTGCCACAAATACAATTAATTCGGCAGGCGGGGCCTCAATTCCAAACCCGAATGGATGTTGGGATTGGGTTGGATGGTATGGAATTGATTTTAGTGTTAAAAGTGGCAAACAATCGACTGCTACGAAGAAAATGATTGATCGTATAACAAGTGGTTTCAATCCAATTGATGCACCGACGGAACTTCAAGTTCTTGCAACTACAGACAATTCAGTTACTCTTGCATGGAGATCAGTTTCAAGTGCAACTGGTTATAATCTTTATAGGAATGGTGGTAAAGCTAATAGTGGAATAATAACTGGCACAACATTTACAGATAATAATTTAAATTCGGGTACAACATATACATACACTGTCAAAGCTGTTTCATCAGCAGGTTCTGAAAGTGCGGCTTCAAATTCAGTGCCTGGTAAAACTACAGGTGAGCCGCCAGCTGTAGGAACGCCGAATGGCTTGATAGCTACGGATATAACCAGTAATTCTATTACTTTGAGATGGAATTCAGTATTAGGTATAACAACATATAATCTTTATCGTAATGGGAATAAGTTGACAAGTGTTAGTCTCACATCGTATACAGATACAGATTTGCGTTCGACAACTGAATATCGATATCAAGTCTCATCGATAAAAGATTCATCTGAAAGTGAAAAATCTATTGAAGTTCATGCTACAACGCTTACTGAAAAAGCGTGTTTCAATGACAATAATTTTAATCATGTAACTAGTGGAAGAGCTTATCACAGTCTTGGTTATGCATTGGCTATCGGTTCAAATCAGAATATGGGACTTTATAATACATTTCAAAAAACAAATCTATGCAAGATAAGAGAAAACTACTACGTAATCGAGTAGTTGATATATGAACACAAAACAAGCTAACAAAAAACCATTAAAATAAACATTTTCAAAAAATATATTTTTCATTCATGAAATCCTCTATTGCAGCATTGGATTTTTATTTTTTTTATTGTATATTTTAAATAGTATTTATTCGGTTGTGCACTTATAACTTTTTTAAAAAGCCAATATTTCAAACAAGTAGTGCTCGTCTGTATATTTACTAGATCTTGTCTCTAAAAAAGAAAAGAAGCTAGATTCTGTAATATAAATTCTTTACCTGACAACAAGATGAATTTCCCAAGAGTACATGTTTTTTTGTTTATCTGATCAAATGCTTTGCAACTGTGTTGTTTGTTGAACGATCACATCATCTAGGGACTCAACTAGAATAGTAACTCGATACTTTGATCCACGGTGACGACGGCTGAGTTTTGGGTGTGGCTATGGATGTGAGTGAAGAGAAGACCTAGGCTTAGATCAAATCCCACACACTGTTTTCAAGGGAAATCAGCGAATTTCTGAGATTCCGAATCCCTGGGAACACAGTGTAATCTCAGGGATACGACATGTAGATATATGTAAAACAAGTCATACTTTAAAATGATAATATTAAATCACGGCCAAACAATAATCAATTTTGTTGTCATCTTCACAAATTTCTAGAGTTTCTGATTTCAATTGAGAAATGTGTTTTCTGTTCATGTGTGAACTGAGCAGAAAACAATATAAGATGTTAAAACATTACTTAAGTCTTTCTGTTTTGGAGTGTGGGTGTGGGTTTGAATACTCGCCATCCGCACCCGACATGCGATTTTGATAAAGAAAAACCAGTAACTGAGAGTAGTTTATCAAGGTCCATTGTGAATGGAACTCGTACCTTCCCACTCTACATATCATCAAACTAGCACGAAACATAAACCATAAACGCATAGAAGATCTACGAAAAAACGAATTTCGACGTTACTGCACTGGACACATTGGTTAGCTTCAAAGGAATATCGCAAATAGAGTTACTTATGTAAACTAAGAGTCGAGCTGGTAGCTGAACTTGTAGAACAGCCGACCGGTTATCGAAAGATGTAGGTTCAATTCCTGCTCTGATTTTATTATCGTTGTTAGCAAGTCTTTCGTGCTTGTTGAGACATATGTAGCTGCATTTGCTTGAAGTCCTATGTATTTCTGTGAACAATTGGCATGATTACTTATTTTTGAACTCTTTCATTTATATTTTCATAGTCATCCTCACCTTCAAGAGTTTTGTATAGATTTTTATAACTTGTTTGTGATTTGTCATCTATTGTCGAATCACTCTTGGACAACAACTATAGGATAGCCAAAGCCATATGATGATGACCGTTAAGCAAGGTCCAAATCTGGATCATGGCGTGCTAGACTCACCGTCAGCCTGTAACTTAATTATTGTTCAGTTGTCTTTGGAGAAAGTAATTTTCATTTGAATTAGAAATCAAGAATAATGTGTGCAAAGACTATTTTGAAGCCTCCACATGATATCTTTGAGCAAGATCGAAACGCGTCGTAGTAGCTCAGGAAAATTCTTCGAAAAATTGGATTTTTTATTGAATTTTACCTTTAAGCTCACCATCAGCCACCGTCATCCACAAACCGGGGACAAAAGTGTTGTTTTCCGCAAAAGAAAACATTTTTTTAATGTTAAAAGTTCTTTTTTAAGCAAAGATGCACTATACCCTTGCATTTATTACAAATTCATTATAATATACGTACTTATCACAGTTTAAAACTACTTTCACTTCAACTGATTTTATCAAAACAAAATAGAATCATCAGTTTGTATTGTAATTTATCATAAGTTTACTTAGATATTTACTTCTGTTTATATGATATAGCTTACATGGACATAAGAAAAAAGTAACTATGCTGGCCGCTAGCCCAAAATCTACAATGTACACTTCAAATGTCAACAATTAACGAAGTTGATTCATATCTCATTCAGTCTGCTTTATTGAACAGAAATGATGAAGTTGACAGCACTGTTTGTCACTGTTTTACTCAACGAGAATCATTTTTCACAACTATTAATGACACGATGATGATACTGAAGAGTAGTTTCATTGGACAATGAGTAGAAGTTGACAACGATCATTGAATAATATGCTATTTTAAATATTAAGCAATGTTTATCATAGCACCAATGAAAAAAATGGTTTTCGTTAATATTTAAAGCGGTGTTGCCACATAGATTCTAAATAAATGGTTTTCTATTCTTCTTCTGTCCATCATGGATATCATATTTTGAGAAGAAAAAAAAGCACAGAGTAATTATTGTTCGAAACAATCCATCACACTGCTGTTTATTTTTTAAATCTATTCTGAAAATAGCTTCTACATAACGACTTTTATACAATAGAACTTTGTTTTTTCACTGAAAACAAAAATAGTAATTGATGAATGGAAATGTTTCACTTAACTATACTTCAATAGTAAAACATCTAAAAGCAGGAGAAATAAACAAGATTTATAAGTCGCTACATAATTATTATAATCCTGATGAGTGTCGAAATTGCGAAGAAGAATTCATTAAATCCTATGTTCATGAAACCAATTCTCTGTATGAGACTCTTTCATGATATGTCATTCTACGTTTTCAATTTAGTCGTCAAGATTTTATTTATCAAAATATGATTGAACTTGTTTTTCATTCATCCATACAAACATTCAAAAGCGTGCATGCTTTTGTATTGTAGTTTTGCAGTGTCAAAAGCAATTTGATAATACTTGTTGTGTTTCAAAACATCGGTTTGATCGATAAGATTCTTCGCTTGATCATAATATGTTTTAATGAAACACGCTACTGTGAGCGCTATGCTAGTTTCTGAAAGAGTAGCACATTCGAGTGGATTTCCATCGAAGTAAAGCGAAAATATTGGATGGAGCGATGACAATGTTTTCGATTTCTCGAATATACTGTTGATCAGTTGCATACTAACATCACAACACTGTTCAGTGTAAGAAACCGGTTCATATTTGTAGACGTTGACACTGAGTGTGCGCAAATAGTCGTTATTAACAAACGACAGACACGTTTGACCTAATAAAAAGTAGTTATCAACAAATATTATTGTCGAATGTTTCCCATATAGAATGAGAGATTGTATTGAAGCAATAGGAATACCGACAGTGTACGAAACTGAATCGAATAGTGACGCAAAACTGGTCTCAATTTCTAGATGATCCTCTCAGAGAAATTTCAAATATTCGAATTGCCTTTTCATGTTTACGAAACTCGAAGAATAAATTAACTATAGTTCACCTATTCGTTATTTATTATCCATGAAAAAGTGGATGTGGGTGTGGGCCTCACATCCATACCCACACCGGTTGTACTTTGACAACAGTAGAAACTATTAACAATACGACACAAATGAAATAAATTGTAAGAAAGCAATGTACTTTAATTTCAGCCTCGATGAGTTCATACAAAAAGAATAGTAAACAAGTGCGAATAAGATGTTTCTCAGTCTACTGATCAACATAAATAGTATCATTAGCAGGTTTCTATCATACTAAATGTCTTAAAAAAAGAGAAACTGATGAAAAGTTTCTGTTAGATATTTAGTCTAGAACTTG